AAAGGTTATCTGTGCCGCATGGGTGAGCGCCGGCTGACTCGGGGCCCATTCCTGCACACAGCGCACCTTCTCATAGGTCAGCCGTCACATTTCCTGCAATGTATGCTGAGGACGGAACATGCGGGGGGGGGAACCGCGACACACAGAGCTATAGAAGCAAATATTCACTCATTGATCTGATTCCAACACTACACGCCACTGCCTATGTGAGCTCCACAGGAACTGGGCAAGGCAAGGCTCACGGGTGTACAGACCTTGGAACTCGGCACAGGGATGGTGGGAACCCCTCATTGGGCACAGCGGGTGTACAGACCCGGGAACTCGGCACAGGGATGCTGGGAACCCCTCATATTGGGCACAGCGGGCATACAGACCCGGGAACTCGGCACAGGGATGGTGGGAACCCCTCATTGGGCACAGCGGGCGTACAGACCCGGAACTCAGCACAGGGATGGTGGGAACCCCTCATAATGGGCACAGCGGGCGTACAGACCCGGGAACTCAGCACAGGGATGCTGGGAACCCCTCATAATGGGCACAGCGGGCGTACAGACCCGGGAACTCGGCACAGGGATGGTGGGAACCCCTCATAATGGGCACAGCGGGCGTACAGACCCGGGAACTCAGCACAGGAATCGTGGGAACCCCTCATAATGGGCACAGCGGGCGTACAGACCCGGGAACTCAGCACAGGGATGGTGGGAACCCCTCATAATGGGCACAGCGGGCGTACAGACCCGGGAACTCAGCACAGGGATGGTGGGAACCCCTTATAATGGGCACAGCGGGTGTACAGACTCGGGAACTCAGCGCAGGGATGATGCGAACCCCTCATGATGGGCACAGCGGGTGTACAGACCCGGGAACTCAGCACAGGGATGGTGGGAACCCCTCATAATGGGCACAGCACCCGGGAACTCAGCACAGGGATCGTGGGAAAACTCATTATTACCAACGTCAATGTTTTTATTGCTGTCCCTGCCTTCCTGTCCTGGTGACAACCACCCCCCTCCCATTTCTTCTATAGATTGTCACAGAAACAGGAAACGGAATAAATGTCCCTATAAGGGGTCAGAGCTAATAATAGAACAATGACAGAAATGTCAACTGTTCCGCACTGTATCCGAAAACAAAATGGCAGCCCGAAGTGAGACTTTGACGATTCATTTCCTTTTCATTTGAAAACAATCTATAATTGTGACTACAGTCTTATGCCGGCCATAGACGGGTCAAAAATCGGCCGATTCTCACACTGTTAGCGGGTTAATTGGTCGGCTGTTTTTCGGGTTTTTTTGCACAGTTTTTTTATCGGGCATGTTGGAAAATTCGCGGCCGATTTTGACGATCAGCCGATTTTCCCGGCAATGATGGGCAAATAGGCCAATCATTTTACCGATAAAAAATCTGCGCATGAGCCGTGACCTGCAAGAAGAAGAGGAAGAAAGAAAGAAAAAGAAAGAAGTAGAAAGAAAAAGAAAGAAGAAGAAAGAAGGAAGCAGAAGACGAAAAAAAGAAGAAAGAAGAAAAAGAAAGACGAAGAAAGAAAAAGAAAGAAGTAGTAAGAAAAAGAAAGAAGTAGAGAGAAGAAGAAAGAAAAAGGAAGAAGAAAGAAAAAAGAAAGAAGAAGAAGAAAGAAGAAGAAGAGAGAAGAAGAAGAAGAAGAAAGAAAAAGAAAGACGTAGAAAGAAAAGAAAGAAAAAAAAAGAAAGAAAGAAGAAGAAAGAAGAAGAAAAAAAAGAAAGAAGTAGAAAGAAAAAGAAAGAAGAAGAAAGAAGGAAGCAGAAGACGAAAAAAAGAAGAAAGAAGAAAAGAAAGATGAAGAAAGAAAAAAGAAAGAAGAAGAAAGAAAAAGAAAAAAAAAAAGAAAGAAAAAGAAAGAAAAAGGAAGAAGAAAAGAAAAAGAAAGAAGAAAAGAAAGAAAAAGAAGAAGAAAAAAGAAAAGAAAAAAGAAAGAAGAAAGAAGTAGAAGAAAGAAGTAGAAGAAAAAAGAAGAAGGAAGAAGAAGAAGATGAAAAAAGAAAGAAGAAGAAGAAAAAAATGAAGAAAGAAGGAAGGAGAGGGAAGAAGAATGGAAGAAGAAGAGGGAAGCAGAAAGAAGAAGGAAGTAAAAAGAAGGAAGAAAAAGAAGAAAGAAAAAAAGAAGATGGAAGAAGAAGAAGAAGAAGAAGAAGGAAGAAAGAAAAAAAGGAAGCAAGAAAGAAGGAAGACAAAAAAAAGAAGAAGAAAGAAGAAAAGAAAGACGAAGAAAGAAAAAGAAAGAAAAAAAAAAAAAAGAAAGAAGGAAGAAAAGAAAGAAAAAGAAAGAAAAAAGATGAAAGAAGAAGAGAGAAGAAGAAAGAAAAAGTAAAAAGAAAAAGAGAGAAGAAGAAAGAAGAAGAAGAAGAAGAAGAGAGAAGAAGAAAGAAAAAGATAGAAAAAAAGAAAGAAAAAGAAAGAAGAAAAGAAAAAGAAAGAAGAAGAAAGAAAGAAGTAGAAGGAAGAAGAAGAAAGAAGCAGATGAAAAAAGAAGAAAGAAGGAAGCAGAAGACGAAAAAAGAAAGAGGAAGAAAAATGAAGAAAGAAGACGACGAAAAAAGAAAGAAGAAAAATGAAGAAAGAAAACGACGAAAAAAAAGAAAGAAGGAAGAAGAAGGAAGAGGGAAGCAGAAAGAAGAAGAAAGAAGAAGAAGAAAGAAGAAGAAGGAAGAAAGAAAGAAAGAAGAAGGAAGTAGAAGGAAGAAGAAGGAAGAAGAAAGAAGAAGGAAGAAGAAGAAGAAGAAGAAAGAAGAAGAAGGAAGAAGAAAGGAAAAGAAAGGAAGAAGAAGGAAAAGAAGGAAGAAGAAAGGAAAAGAAGGAAAAGAAAGAAAAGAAGGAAGAAGAAAGAGGAAGAAGAAAGAAAAAGAAAGAGGAAGAAAGAAGAAGTAAGAAAAAGAAAGAAGAAGAAAGAAGGAAGAAGAAGATGAAAAAAAGAAAGAAGAAAAATGAAGAAAGAAGACGACGAAAAAAAAGAAAGAAGTAGGAAGAAGAAAGAGGAAAGAAGAAGGAAAAAGAAAGAAAGAAGAAGGAAGTAGAAGGAAGAAGAAGAAGAAGAAGAAAGAAAAGAAGAAGAAAGAAGAAGAAAGAAGGAAGAAGAAGAAGAAGAAGAAAAAAAAAAGAAAGAGGAAGAAGAAAAAGAAAGAGGAAGAAGAAAAAGAAAGAGGAAGAAGAAAAAGAAAGAGGAGAAAAAAAGAAAGAGGAAGAAAGAAGAAAGAAAGAAGGAAGAAGAAAAGAAAAAAGAAAGAAGAGAAAGAAAAATGAGAGAAAAAAGAAAAAAAAAAATGAAGAAAGAAGAAGGAAGAAGAAGAAGAAATGTTATTCTGCTAAAGTGAATGGATGATAGGAATGGGAGACACCTGAATCTTTCCTATGAAGTGGCAGTCCAGTCCGCGATTATATTTTATATGAAAGTCTTGCGGTTGCAACAATGTATCCAAATAATGTATTGCTGTCACATTGGTATGGTGCGCTCCCCACATTGTCACACATGGTATGGTGCTCCCGTCACATGGTATGGTGGTGCGCTCCCGTAACATGGTATGGTGCGCTTCCCCGTCAACATGGTATGGTGCGCTCCCCTGTCACATGGTATGGTGCGCTCCCCTGTCACATGGTATGGTGCGCTCCCCTGTCACATGGTATGGTGCGCTCCCCCGTCATGGGTGCGCTCCCCTGTCACATGGTATGGTGCGCTCCCCCCCCTCACATGTGTATGGTGCGCTCCCCTGTCACATGGTATGGTGCGCTCCCCCGTCACATGGTATGGTGCGCTCCCCTGTCACATTGTATGGTGCGCTCCCCCGTCACATGGTATGGTGCGCTCCCCCGTCACATGGTATGGTGCGCTCCCCCGTCACATGGTATGGTGCGCTCCCCCGTCACATGGTATGGTGCGCTCCCCTGTCACATGGTATGGTGCGCTCCCCCCGTCACATGGTATGGTGCGCTCCCCTGTCACATGGTATGGTGCGCTCCCCTGTCACATGGTATGGTGCGCTCCCCCGTCACATGGTATGGTGCGCTCCCCCGTCACATGGTATGGTGCGCTCCCCCGTCACATGGTATGGTGCGCTCCCCCCCCGTCACACATGGTATGGTGCGCTCCCCCGTCACATGGCATGGTGCGCTCCCCCGTCACATGGCATGGTGCGCTCCCCCGTCACATGGTATGGTGCGCTCCCCCGTCACATCACATGGTTGTATGGTGCGCTCCCCGTCACATTGGTCGCTCCCCCGTCACATGGTATGGTGCGCTCCCCCGTCACATGGTATGGTGCGCTCCCCGTCACATGGTATGGTGCGCTCCCCCGTCACATTGTATGGTGCGCTCCCCGTCACATTGTATGGTGCGCTCCCCTGTCACATGGTATGGTGCGCTCCCGTCTCTCTGCAAGGGACAGAAGTTATGGGGTTAATGCCGGCCATAGACGGGCCGAAAAATCGGCTGATTTTTTTAACGTTGGTGGTAATGTCGGCCGATCGCACCCGTCCCGTCTATGTCCTGCTTTAGGCTGGCCATACATTATACAATTTTCTGCCCAATTTCCTTCAGATTTACCTTCAACTATGTAGCGCAAGGGCCAGCCTGATTGGATACAACTGAAAGTGTTGTTCGGGTTTGACCTCATATTATATGGTTTTTGGGAAATCTAAAGCAAAATTCTCAAGAAAATTGTACAATGTATGGCCAGCCTTAGAGATTTCATTAGAAGGCGCTGATTTTCCTCTGCTGATTACTCGGCAAGCATTTCAAAAGTAAAAATCAATTTCTACATTGCAGAAAATGCGCTTTCCAACACTGTGACCTTGCTTTTTCTGTGAGATGGGAGTTTTGCTTTGTGGTAACTTTTTGGCACAGCTCAGCCTGTCAGCGGCGGAACAGTCGCCGTGCTAAGTGCGACGCATGACATTGGCGCCGCCCAGCGCGGCGTGTAGCGATTAACCCTCCTGGAATAGCGGCCCCGGCACCTGTGTTATTCGCTGACCTTTAGCATCTCCTCGTGTATGGAGAAGTGACCGTAGGAGCTGAAGTAGGCGCAGTCCTCGCTCTCATCCAGATCGGCGATGGCCCCAGCGGAAGACGAAGCACATCTGACATCTGCGTTCATCACGAAATCCTGCGCAAGTTGTCTGTAATCAATTTGAAAAGATACCCCTGAGACGAGCTCGCCGAACCGTGAAAATGAAAAGAGGACGAGAGGCGAGCGCGCGGCGCGGGCGAGGGAGAAGAAGAGCGCAGCTCTGGGCTGTGCTGCCCTCTACTGGCCACATGGTGCACTGCTACTACAGCGACAATGTCAAACGTTCGGGCCATTCACATCGCTGCATTAAAGTAGAATTCCAGCCCTAACTAGTCTTAAAACTGCCCCCCCCCCCCCAATACCTATGCCGACTAACCTGAAGGATAAGACATACTTACCTATTTGCAGCCCGCTCCGGTCATGTGATCTGGCTCCCCTGCGTCAGTCAGCGATGGCTGCAGGGGACAGGAGCGAGCGCTCTGTAACGGCTGGGAATTCCAGAAGTAGTGACATCACCCGTAGGCTCCTATCGCCCATCTGTTGTCAGCGCTCCCTCCTCTTCCTTGCAGCCGCCAATGGCTGACAGCGGGGAGAACCGAATTACAGGACCGGACCAGAGCGGCCTGAAAATACATTTATACTTTTTTTTGGTTTTTTAACACAGGTTAGTCAGCAGAGGTGTTAGGAAGGGGGCTGGAGTTCTACTTTAAAGAGGTTGTAAACCTCAGACATGAAATAGGAACAAAGCACATCCCTCTAATAGGGTGTACTTGTCTCAGTCCAGAGCACTAAATGCCATCTCTGTCAAGAGAGGAGAGAGAGAGGAGAGAAGAGAGGAGAGAAGAGGGGGGGGGGGAAGGAGAGGAGAGAGAGAGAAGAGAGGAGAGAGAGAGAGAGATTAGAGGGAGAAGAAGAGAGAGAGGAGAGAGAGAGGAGAGAGAGAGGGGGGGAGAAAGGGAGAGAAGAGAGAGAGGGTAGAGAGAGAGAGAGAGAAGAGGGGGGGAGGAAGAGAGAGGGGGGAGGAGAGAGGGGGGGAGAGGGGGGGAGGAGAGAGGGGGGAGAGGGGGGGAGACAGAGAGAGAGAGGGGGGAAGAGAGAGAGAGAGGGGAAGAAGAGAGAGAGGGGGGAGAAGAGAGAGAGGAGGGGGGAAGAGAGAGAGAGAGGGGGGAAGAGAGAGGGGGGGGGGGAGAGAGAGAGGGGGGGAAGAGAGAGGGGGGGGAAGAGAGAAAGGGGGGGGGGGGGAGAGAGAGAGGGAGGGGAAGAAGAGGGGGGGGAAGAGAGAGAGGGGGGAAGAGAGAGAGGGGGGAGAGAGAGGGGGGAGAGAGAGGGGAGAGAGAGAGAGGGGAGAGAGAGAGGGGGGAGGGAGGGGAGGAGGGGGGAGGGAGGAGAGGGGAGGAGGGGGGAGAGAGAGGGGGGGAGGAGGGAGGGAGAGGGGGAGAGAGGGGGGGAGGGGGGAGGGGGAGAGAGAGGGGGGGGGGGGGGAGAGAGAGGGGGGGAGAGAGAGGGGGGGGAGGGGGGGGAGAGAGAGAGAGGGGGGGAGAGGGGGGGGAGAGAGAGAGAGAGAGGGGGGAGGGAGAGAGGGGGAGAGGGGGCGAGAGAAGAGAGAGAGGGGGGGAGAGAGAGAGAGAGAGGGGGGAGAGAGAGAGACAGGGGGGAGAGAGAGAGAGGGGGGAGAGAAGAGCGAGAGAGAAGAGAGAAAGAGGGGGGGAGAAAGAGGGGGGGGGAGAAAGAGAGGGGGGGAGAGAAAAGAGAGGGGGGGGGAGAGAAAGAGAGGGGGGGGAGAGAAAGAGAGGGGGGGGAGAGAAAGAGAGGGGGGGGAGGGAGAAGAGAGAAAGTGAGAGAGAAAATACTTAGGGACAACCTCCCTACTGGGGTCCTCTTCCTACCTCTGGGCCCCAAGGCAGCTGATGGGTTTATACCACTGAAAGGAAGGAGAGAGAAGAACAAAAGTGAGAAGAAATAGAAGAGAAGGAGAAAAAGAAAAATCTGTGAAGAAAAAAGGAAATGGAAAAAATATAAGTGGGGGAGAAGGGAAGGAAAGGAAAACAAAAAGAAAGGAAAAAGGAGAAGAAAGAAAAGGAAAGGAAAAGAAGGAGAGGAGGAGAAGGGGAAGGAGAGGGAGGAGAAGGAGGAGAGAGGAGAAGGGGAAGGAAGGAGGAGAAGAAGGGGAAGGAGAGGAGGAGAAGGGGAAGGAGAGGAGGAGAAGGGGAAGGAGAGGAGGAGAAGGGGAAGGAGAGGAGGAGAGAAGGGGAAGGAGAGGAGGAGAAGGGGAAGGAGAGGAGAAGGGGAAGGAGAGGAGGAGAAGGGGAAGGAGAGGAGGAGAAGGGGAAGGAGAGGAGGAGAAGGGGAAGGAGAGGAGAAGGGGAAGGAAGGAGGAGAAGGGGAAGGAGAGGAGGAGAAGGGGAAGGAAAGGAGACTAAGAGGGAAAAAGGAAAAAAAAAGGGAACCAAAGGATAGAAATGAAAAGAAAGAGATGAAGGGAAAGAATTAGAAAAAAGGGAAAGAAGGGGAAAAAGGAAGGAAGGAGAAGAAAGGAAAAATAAGGAAAAGGAAAAAATAAGGAAAAGGAAAGAAGAGGGCAGGACAGAAAAGAAAAAGGAAATGAAAGGAAGAAATAGGAAGAGAAGGAAGGGGGGGAAGGGGAGGGAGAAAAAAAAAAAGAAGGGGAAGGAAAAGAGAATGTACTCAGGATTTTAAAATCTAAATCTAAAACGCTTATGTTGCTGATATGTAATAGATAATCTACGAATCAACACACAAATGTGACAGGTCCTCTTTCCCAAAAAAGCTGACCACACACGTTCCATGTCTGGATGCAATCTCCTTCAGATCTGTCAGGCACACGTATGTCCAGCCAGGTTGTCCCACAAATGACACTTCTGTAGCACAGAATATCATGCAACAACACGCGTGTTCAGCTTCATCACTCTACATGTGACATTTTCCCACCTTATAATAACTGAAAAAAAAACAAACTCTTTGAATTGGACGTTTTGTTGTCACCGAAAACGTTGGGTGTCACCCGATGTTGTCACCATGCCTTCTTCCTCTGAACACAAACCTCATTTTCTGCAGCTCTTTCCAGAACGTTGGCTAAGCTCTCCTCGGCTGCCTGCGCCCGTGCCTCTGCCTCCCGGAGTCGGAGGTGTACAGATGATGGTTCGGAGTTTGTGACCCGAGCCCCGCCGCCATCACAGTCCATGTCCCTCCATATCTGCCACATCAATCGGGAGACACAAACATCAACGCTGCAAAACCACAACTCTACTGCTTTCATGTAAAAGCTTAACCGTCCTTTACTTTGCCTTCGCTGGTTCCCCCTCCCCCCCTCCTCAACATGATCATTTTTAAATAAAACCTTTCCATTTTCATTACATACCTTGTTTTAGAACCAGTGATGTCATCACTGGGTCTCTGTGCTTCGCTATATAATGTAGGCAGATCATGACTGGTGGGAGGGGCCAGCAGGGTGTGCTGTACGTAGCTTCCTGAAATCAACGCCCTACCTTAGTACTCCTCTCAAGAGCCCTCAGTCCTGATGCAAGCGGTGGGAGGAGTTATGCAAATATCAAGTAACTGGGTCCCATGTGACCGCTGTGACCAATCACAGCAGATCACATGACCATTATAAAAACAATGAATGGCTTCCTTTCATGCCATCAATTGTATACAATTGTGTTAACAGCTGGGATTGGTCACAGTGATCACACGGTACAGACTGGGCCAATCACAGCTAATCACAACCCTCCCCCCCCCCCAAAAAAAAAACACAACACTGGATTAATCGATTTCAGTCAGTTAAATGCTTGCTTACAGCAATTACAATGTGTATTAAAAAAAAAAAAAAAAAAAAAAAACAACACTGATCTTCTCCCCAGAGTAGTACAATGTTACTATGGTAACATTATATTACTCTGGTTACAGTGTTACAAAAAAAAAAAAAAAAACTTAAAAAGAAAAAAAAAAAAAATTGAAAATAAATATATATATATAAATGAAAACACATACACTATATTGCCCCAAGTACTGGTCGGCGGCTTTTCCCCACACATGACCTTCAATGGCCCCCCTGTCTTAGTCCGTAGGGTTCAATATTGAGTTGGCCCCGCCCTTTCCACACACATGACCTTCAATGGCCCCCTCCCAGTCTTAGTCCATAGGGTTCAATATTGAGTTGGCCCCGCCCTTTCCACACACATGACCTTCAATGGCCCCTCCCAGTCTTAGTCCGTAGGGTTCAATATTGAGTTGGCCCCGCCCTTTCCACACACATGACCTTTAATGGCCCCCCAGTCTTAGTCCATAGGGTTCAATATTGAGTTGGCCCCGCCCTTTCCACACACATGACCTTTAATGGCCCCCCAGTCTTAGTCCGTAGGGTTCAATATTGAGTTGGCCCCCCCTTTCCACACACACATGACCTTTAATGGCCCCCCAGTCTTAGTCCATAGGGTTCAATATTGAGTTGGCCCCGCCCTTTCCACACACATGACCTTTAATGGCCCCCCAGTCTTAGTCCGTAGGGTTCAATATTGAGTTGGCCCCGCCCTTTGCAGCTATAACAGCTTCAACTCTTCTGGGAAGGCCCTGTCCACAAGGTTTAGGAGGGTGTCTATGGGAAGGTTGGACCATTCTTCCAGAAGCACATTTGTCAGGTCAGATTTCACTGCAATGGGGACACACGGACAAAAACATAAAATACATTTTAGGGTCAGAATGCATTGCTGTCCTGGAGACAACTATTCCCCATTATTCCTGTGCAGGTGTCACGGGGACAGGAAGTGAGGGAAAAGATCTCCCCTGTGGGACACTGACGGTATGAAATCCAAAACCAAGAAAAAATGTCCTATATTGCAGCTTATCCCTCAGATGTGGTGTCTGCATTCCAAGGAGGGGTGAGTATTAGATGGACTAGCAGATTTAGATACATTAACAAGCTGCAAAAACACCTCCATTCTGGAGGAAGGAGCACAGGGGGCACCTTTGGGCAGCAGCATTGTCAGTCTGGGGGGGGAGGGGGAGTAGTAGATGGACTAGCAGATTCAGATACACTAACAAGCTGCAACACACCTCCATACTGGAGGAAGGAGCATAGGGGCACCTTTGGGCAAGCAGCATTGTCAGCCTGGGGGGGGGGGGTAGTATTAGATCTGACTAGCAGATTTAGATACAGCTAACAATTCTGGAGGAAGGAGCACAGGGGGCACCTTTGGGCAGCAGCATTGTTAGTCGGGGGGGGGGTGTGAGTATTAGATGGACTAGCAGATTTGTGATACACTAACAAACTCCAGATATCAGTTACAGTCCTCAAAGTTTTTTTCCTTTTGGGATAAAAAATAAATAAATAATAAAAGCTGATCACTGTAAAGCCGGCCATAGATGGTTCGGATCTTGGCCAGGTTCAGCAGGGACCGGTTTTTAGCACCCCTATCAGTGCTAAATGGTTTTGTCTCATCTCTGTCACTGATACATTCTGCTGGAGAGCTTGTGCTTTTGAAAAAACAACAGACTTACTAACTGGATCACCAGGTGAAAGAAAGCCTAAAAATAAAAGGAATGCAGCCGCCACATCTAAGAGATAATAAGCTGCAATATGAGAAATGTGGACGGAGGGGCTCAGTTTTCCCTCCAGACTATATGCATTGGCACTGATTTGTTACAGAACCCGGGACTCTGAGGCCCCGCCCACGTCTGGGCATTCGCGATATCAGGAAGAATAGCCCCTCCATCCCGAAATGTTCTGCGAAAAATGACAAATCGCAGCACGCTTGTCCGGGGCGCCATTCGTTTTCAATGGCACCGTGGCTCTGCCGCGACACACATACACACCGCGTCGGGCGGAGCTTGCTGCTCCAAAAAGAGCTCCCGCGCCTTTCTGAGCATTAAGGTTTGCTTACGCAATTAAACCGCGTTTTGGTGCCACTAAAAACACAAAGGCACCTGGACAGGCGTGGAGCAATTTGTCATTTTTTTTTCCACAGGAATTTTGGGATGGCGACGATTCTTCCTGAGATCGCAAACGCCTAGATGTGTACGGGGGCCCTGCCTCCCTCCCTCCATACTCCACCTACAACTGAAAGGCACGGCCAGGTAAACGTATCTTCATCCACTAGCCAACCACAATACACACACTATATTGCCACAAGTATTGGTTGGCCCCGGCCTTTCCACGCACGTGACCTTTAATGGCCCCCCAGTCTTAGTCCGTAGGGTTCAATATTGAGTTGGCCCCGCCCTTTGCAGCTATAACAGCTTCAACTCTTCTGGGAAGGCCGTCCACAAGGTTTAGGAGGGTGTCTATGGGAAGGTTGGACCATTCTTCCAGAAGCACATTTGTCAGGTCAGGCACTGATGTCGGGGGAGGAGGCCTGGCTCGCAGTCTCCGCTCTAATTCATCCCAAAGGTGTTCTATGGGGTTGAGGTCAGGACTCTGTGCAGGACAGTCAAGTTCCTCCACCCCAAACTGGCTCCTCCATGTCTTTATGGACCTTGCTTTGTGCACTGGTGGGCAGTCATGTTGGAACAGGAAGGGGCCATCCCCAAAACTCCTCCCACAAAGTTGGGAGCATGATATTGTCCAGAATGTCGCCTTAAGAGTTCCCTTCACTGGAACTAGGGGGCCAAGTCCAACCCCTGAAAAACGACCCCACACCATAATCCCCCCTCCACCAAACTTTACACTTGGCACAATGCAGTCAGGCAAGTACTGTTCTCCTGGCAACCGCCAAACCCAGACATGTCTATCAGATTGCCAGATAGAGAAGTGTGATTGGTCACTCCAGAGGACATGTCTGCTCTGCTCTAGAGTCCAGTGGCGGCGTGCTTTACGCCACGGCACCTGACGCTTTGCATTGAACTTGGTGATGGAAGGCTTGGATGCAGCTGCTCGGCCATGGAAACCCATTCCATGAAGCTCTCTACGCACTGTTGTTGGGCTCATCTGAAGGCCACACCAAGTTTGGAGGTCTTTAGCTATTGACTCTGCAGACAGTTAGCGACTTCTGCGCACTGTGCGCTTCAGCATGCGCTGACCCCGCCCTGTCATGTGACGTGGCCTACCACTTGGTGGCTGAGTGGCTGTTGTTCCCAGTGGCTTCCACTTTGTTATAATCCCACTAACAGTTGAGCGTGGAATATTTAGTAGCCAGGAAATGTCACGGATGGACTTATTGCCCAGGTGGCCACCTATCACGGGACCACGCTTGGAGCCACTGAGCTCCTGAGAGCGACCCATTCTTTCACCAATGTTTGTAGAAGCAGTCTGCATGCCTAGGGGCTTGATTGTATACACCTGTGTCCGTGGGGGGGATTGGAACACCTGAATCACATGATTGGGAGGGCGGGGACAATACTTGTGGCAAGTGTGTGTGTGTATTTTTTTTTTCTTTTTGTCACCAGTGTCTCTGATCACAGCCACACCAGTTATATGAGGCTGTACTGCTCTGGTGACAGGATGTAAAAAAAAATAAATAAATTGTGACAAATTACAACTTCAAAAAACTCGCCATGCCTCCTACTAAATACCTTGGACTGTCTACTTTCCAAAAAGAGGTCATTTGGGGGATATCTGTCCTGTCCTGACATTTGGGGGATATCTGTACTGTTCCTGACATTTGGGGGATATCTGTCCTGTCCTGACATTTGGGGGGATATCTGTCCTGTCCTGACATTTGGGGGGATATCTGTCCTGTCCTGACATTTGGGGGGATATCTGTCCTGTCCTGACATTTGGGGGGATATCTGTCCTGTCCTGACATTTGGGGGGATATCTGTCCTGTCCTGACATTTGGGGGGATATCTGTCCTGTCCTGACATTTGGGGGGATATCTGTCCTGTCCTGACATTTGGGGGGGATATCTGTCCTGTCTGTACTGTCCTGACATTTGGGGGGATATCTGTACTGTTGACTGACATTTGGGGGATATCTGTACTGTCCTGACATTTGGGGGGATATCTGTACTGTCCTGACATTTGGGGGGATATCTGTACTGTCCTGACATTTGGGGGATATCTGTACTGTCCTGACATTTGGGGGGATATCTGTACTGTCCTGACATTTTTGGGCCTCAAGAAATGAGATGGGCCATCAGTACTTCAGGATTGATTGATTTTCAGATATTTTTCCCATAGTTTATGGTCTCTATAACATTCCTACAGACTAAATAATAAAACTCGATCTGAGTTATTGTCACCAAAGAAATGCAGCAGAATACATCTCGGCTTTTCTGAAAAACAATTATTTGCAAAATTTTATAACAATTTTATTTGCAAAACTTATTTTTGTTTAAAAAAAAAATACCCCCCCCCCTTCCCGTGGTGATTAAATACCACCAAAAGAAAGCTCTATTTGTGCGAACAATGAAAATTCTCCTATGGGTAAAGTGTCGCATGACCGCACAATTGTCATTCGAAGTGCAACAGCGCTGAAAGTTGTCCTGGGCAGGAGGGGGGGGGGGGGGGGGGGGGAGTTCCCGGCACTAAAGTGGTTAATATTGACCTTTTTTTTTCGACCTATTGTATTTATTCGTTTTTTTGGCGTTTGCGCGTTCTCTCCGTATCGCCGCAGTGACCATTTCTGGATGTTGCAAAGCCAAGAAAAACGACCGCTCACCGTACTGCAGCAGCAAGTCATCCTCAATCACCGGCTTGAAGAAGTCGTCCTGATCCCAAGGCTTCGGGCTGCCGATACTTCGTAGACTGTCGGCCGTACAGTTCTGAGGAGACGAGGAAAAAAAACGAAAAAAAAAAAAATAATGATGGAAAATGTTGCAAAAAATGAATTTCCCGGATACTTGAAATGTAACAATGTAAGTCACGCGGGTTTACCGTCCCATTAACCCCGTCCTGCCAGATCTACGCATATCTGTGGCAGCATGGAAGTGGGACTAAACGGCGTGATGGCGCGCCACCACGTACCAATACCTCCTTTGTTCTAGGAGCGCGCTCAGTGACGTGCCTCTAGCACCCGTACCTGACAACCCACAATCCCCGAGAAATAGTCAGAAGCTGGTAGGATGGGCCCCCCGTCAGGTGATCACTGCGACATCCAACCATAAGCTGTTTTCAGGACGCTATGTACAGCACCGTGCTAGCCCCTCCCACCCGCCAAGATCAGCCTGACTTGCATAGAGAAGAACAGAGACCAGGGATGCACTGATATATTGGCAGCCTAAATGTATCAGCCAAAAATAGCGGCAATAGGAAAAAGTGCCAATAATGGTCTCTGAAAACGGCGACTTTATTCGTGATTTTACCACGTTTAGGGTGCGGTTTTCATAGGTCATGTGGCAAAAAAAAAAAAAAAAAGCAACACGCGTGCATTTTTGATGGGTTTTCAATGCATTTCAGGCCTGGTTTAAACCAACGCCGTTTGCGTTTTTGTCCGTTTTCGCCACATTTCACGTGATTTTTAAATTTTCTCTCTCTTTCGCACCAATGCAGTTTGCGTTTTGCACGCACGTTTTTGACGCTTTATTAAATTTCTTTTTGTTTTTTGACCAACTTGTTGCTGGGCAGATTCAAAAAATCAAAAACACATCAAAAACGCAACACAAGTGTTTCTGATGCATTTTTGCTGCGTTTTTAATGCATTTCAGGCCTGGTTCACACCAACGCCATTTGCGTTTTGTCCATTTTTGCAGTCCACACACGTTTTTGACTAGTTTTTTATGCTTTTTATTTTTTTTTTCCCCCAACTTGCTACGGGGCAGATTAAAAACACAACGTGCATTTTTGATGCTTCTTTAATGCATTTCACTCCTGGTTCACACCAACGCAGTTTGCGTCTTGTCCGTTCTACAGTGCGTTTTGGCCTGCACATTTTTGACGCGTTTTTTGATGCTTTTGCATGTCTTGACTTTTTTTTTTTTTTTACCCAACATGTTGCTGGGCAGATTAAAAAATGCAAAACGCATCAAAAATGTGGCAAAAACACACTACATGTGTTTTCTGCAGCGTGTCTATTGAAGTCTATTGAACCAAAAACGCAACAATTTGCGTTTAAAAAAAAAAAGTCCCCGACCCTTTCCAAAAGCGCAGCGGCTCAAAAAAGCATCATGTAAGGGACTTTTTGCACCTTTTTTAAAAATTTTGTGGAAAATTTTATTTTTTTTTCTAAAAAGTACAGTTACACCAAAAACATTTTTGAGCAGTTCCACCCCCACACACATACCAACATATAAACATGCCGGTCTGGGGAGCCTATGCACAAAAAAATAAATAAAACAAATAAATCAATTCTCAATTCTTGGCCCATTATTCACGGTTAGCTCTAAACTGATAACCTGTAGGGGCTTTTATATCATCACCTATGGAGAACCCAGGCTGCCCATACACTATACAATTTTCTTACAATTTTCTGCTCAATTTCCTTTAGATTTACCTTCAACTATGTAGCACAAGGGCCGGCCTGATTGGATACAACTGAAAGTGTTGTTTGGGTTTGACCTCATATTATATGGTTTTTGGTAAATCTAAAGCAAAAAAATCTCAAGAAATTTGTATAACGAATGGCCAGCCTCATTATATAATTTTCTTGAGAATTGTTCCACCTGCTGGCTTGTATACAAGTTTTGGGACATTTTAAGACATTTTGCCAAAGTCCCTGAAGAAGCCTCAAGGCGCCCCTGAAGAAGCTTCCAGGCAACCCTGAAAAAACCTTGAGGTGCCCCTGAAGAGGCCTCAAGGCGCCCCTGTAGAAGCCTCGAGGCGCCCCTGAAGAAGCCTCGAGGCGCCCCTGAAGAAGCCTCGAGGCGCCCCTGAGAAGCCTCGAGGCGCCCCTGAAGAAGCCTCGAGGCGCCCCTGAAGAAGCCTCGAGGCGCCCCTGAAGAAGCCTCGAGGCGCCCCTGAAGAGGCCTCGAGGCGCCCCTGAAGAGGCCTCGAGGCGCCTCTGAAGAGGCCTCGAGGCGCCCCTGAAGAGGCCTCGAGGCACCTCTGAAGAAGCCTCAAGGCGCCCCTGAAGAAGCCTCAAGGTGCCCCAAGGCACCCTGGTTGAGACTAGCTGCTCTAGAGTCTCTATGTAATCTTCATGTCTAAAATGATATTTTTACACGTGTAAATTTTTAGACATTTTGCCAAGGCGCCCCTGAAGAAGCCTCAAGGCAACCCTGAAGAAGCCTCGAGGCGCCCTGAAGAGGCCTCGAGGTGCCCCTGAAGAGGCCTCAAGACACTCCAAGGCACCCTGGTTGAGACTAGCTGCTCTAGGGTCTCTGCTTTCAGAAAATATGTTTGGGGGGGATTTATGTAATCTTCATGTCTAAAATGATATTTTTACACGTGTACATTTTTAGACATTTTGCCAAGGCGCCCCTGAAGAAGCCTCAAGGGGCCCCTGAAGAAGCCTCAAGGGGCCCCTGAAGAAGCCTCAAGGGGCCCTTGAAGAAGCTTCAAGGCGCCCCCGCCCCTGAAGAAGCCTCAGGGCGCCCCTCAAGAAGCCTCAGGGCACCCCTCAAGAAGCCTCAGGGCGCCCCTCAAGAAGCCTCAAGGCGCCCCTCAAGAAGCCTCAAGGGGCCCTGAAGAAGCCTCAAGGCACCCTGGTTGAGACTTGCTGCTCTAGGGTCTCTGCTTTCAGAAAATGTGTTTGGGGGAATTTATGTAATCTTCATGTCTAAAATGATATTTTTAATACGTGTAAAAAACAAACAAACAAAAAAAAACCCACAAAAATGGCTTTGGCAACAGAAGGGTTAAACATTAAATATGAACAGTCCTGGCTGTATAATAAACGCTCGGAGGTGATAAAAACGTACTTACCGTAAAGCGGACATAATTGATGAACTTTATGTAGCCGTAGAAGTCCAGACCTGCAACACAGAAGATTTCTGATGACCATCACCAGGGGGGGGAGAAGATTGTACGCTCCTCGGGGGCGGGGACTGATGTGAATGTACAATATATATGTAAAGCGCTGAGTAAACTGATGGCGCTTTACAAGTACCTGAAATAAATAAAGGGGGCTAACATGCACCCCTATGTCATGGGCAGGGGACAGGTCCTCTTTGTAGAGACACTAGGGGTCTTCAAGGACCCCTATGGCTGTCCTGCCCTGCACAGATGGTGTTTGAATAGCTGCATCCTCACCTACATCGGAACCGATGCAATACATGCCGCTTCTGGGGAAAAGCCAAGGAGCCACCACAGTTGCCTGCTGCTTGGGGGTGGGGATGGGGGTGGCACCCTTTTAGGGCCCCATACAAGTGACCAGGCTGACCGTACCGTGTGTGGAGACAAACTGGCGGAGGCTGAACTGATGCTGCTCCTGGCAGTGGTGGAAGGTTTCTTCTGGTGAATGGAAGATCCTGTAAGATATACGAGACAACAGTATTATTTAGGGCAGTGATGGCCAACTAGAAAATTATAGAGGGCCCCCCACCCCCGACACCTCCCGAGGGCCACTCAACAGTACTGCATTTTCGCACCTCAACATACCAAATATTCAAATATGTTGATCCTGCTGCATTTTTTGCAGTAAACTACAATTCACTCTGAAGAAGCTGACGTACAATGACAACATTGGTGTCAGTGGGTGCAATATTAACCCCCAGCATTGGTGTCAGCAAACGAAAAAATAACCCCCAGCATCGGTGTCAGCAAACGAAAAAATAACCCCCAGCATCGGTGTCATCAAACGAAAAAATAACCCCCAGCATCGGTGTCAGTAAACATCATCATAACCCCCAACAATGAAGTCAGTGAATGCCATAATAACCTCCAGCATTGGTGTCAGTGAAACACCATAACGCAATAACCCCCAGCATCGGTGTCAGCAAACGCAATAATAACCCCCAGCATCGGTGTCAGCAAACGCAATAATAACCCCCAGCATCGGTGTCAGCAAACGCAATAATAACCCCCAGCATCGGTGTCAGCAAACATCATCATAACCCCCAACAATGAAGTAAGTGAATGCCATAATAACCCCCAGCATTGGTGTCAATGAATACAATAATACCCACCAACAATGAAGTCAGAGAACGCCGTAATAACCCCCAACATTGGTGTCAGTGACCGCCACAATAACCCCCAGCATTAGGTGTTAGTAAACTAAATAGTAACCCCCCAGCATCGGTGTCAGTAAAAGAAAACAAACTCCAGCATTGGTGCCAGTGAACGTCAAAATAACCCCCAGCATCGGTGTCAGTGAACGTCATAATAACCCCCAGCATCGGTGTCAGTGAACGTCATATAACCCCCAGCATCGGTGTCAGTGAACGTCATAATAACCCCCAGCATCGGTGTCAGTGAACGTCATTATAACCCCCAGCATCGGTGTCAGTGAACGTCATAATAACCCCCAGCATCGGTGTCAGTGAACGTCATAATAACCCCCAGCATCGGTGTCAGTGAACGTCATAATAACCCCCAGCATCGGTGTCAGTGAACGTCATAATAACCCCCAGCATCGGTGTCAGTGAACGTCATAATAACCCCCAGCATTGGTGTCAGTAAACGCCATAATAGCCCCCAGCATCGGTGTTAGTAAATGAAATAATAACCCCCAGCATCGGTAAACGCCATAATCACCCCCAACAATGAAGTCAGTAAACGCAATAATAACCCCCAGCATTGGTGTCAGTAAACATCATAATAACCCCCAACAATGAAGTCTGTGAACGGCCTGCGGGCCGCACACAGGGGGGAACGGCGGCCTGCACACGGGGGGGGGGGGGGGGGGGGGGGGCGGCGGCCTGCACAGAGGGGGGCCGGCGGGCTGCACACAGGGGGGCCAGCGGGCTGCACACAGGGGGGCCGGCGGGCTGCACACAGGGGGGCCAGCGGGCTGCGCGTTGGGTGACAGAGATTTGGAGTAATTGGCGAGGGGACAGAGCTGGGAACACCTGAGATCTCACCATTGGATTCCACAGGAGGCATGAGGCCAGCCCATAAAGCCCCTCATGTGGCTGATATTCAATCTCAGCAGGGAGATGGATCAACTGCACTAGGCCAGCACGGCGCCCCCTGGGGGGGGTCATCCAGTATTTGGGGGGGGGGGGGTTTACCTCTCACAGAACAGGCATCGAACGTCTTGCTGCACTCCGGATTCCTCGTCTTCCCAGGCGGCATCGTCCCCGTCCTCGTAGTCTTCCAGCTCTGGAGCCTCATCCAGGTCTTCCTCATCTGCAAATGGGAAAGGAAATGTCAATTCCTTCACACAGACCAGGGAAGGGTCTCTCAGGCCATCTGTGCCCCCTACCGGGGAGACTTGGTCCCACTTCCTGCCAGGACAGGAAGTGATGAGATTTCACTGCAATGGGGACACACGGACAAAAACATAAAATACATTTTAGGGTCAGAATGCATTGCTGTCCTGGAGACTATTCCCCATTATTCCTGTGCAGGTGTCACGGGGACAGGAAGTGAGGGAAGATCTCCCCTGTGGGGACACTGACGGTATGAAATCCAAAACCAAGAAAAAATGTCCTATATTGCAGCTTATCCCTCAGATGTGGTGTCTGCATTCCAAGGAGGGGTGAGTATTAGATGGACTAGCAGATTTAGATACACTAACAAGCTGCAACACACCTCCATTCTGGAGGAAAGAGCACAGGGGGCACCTTTGGCCAGCAGTATTGTAAGTCGGGGGGGGGGGGTTGAGTAGTAGATGGACTAGCAGATTTAGATACACTAACAATTCTGGAGGAAGGAGCACAGGGGGTACCTTTGGGCAGCAGCATTGTCAGTCTGGGGGGGGGAGGGGAGTATTAGATGGACTAGCAGATTTAGATACACTAACAATTCTAGAGGAAGGAGCACAGGGTGCACCTTTGGGCAGCAGCACTGTTAGTCGGGGGGGGGGGGGGGGGGGGTATTAGATGGACTAGCGGATTTAGATACACTAACAAACTCCAGATATCAGTTACAGTCAAAGTTTTTTTCCTTTTGGGATAAAAAATAAATAAATAATAAAAGCTGATCACTGTAAAGCCGGCCATAGATGGTTCGGATCTTGGCCAGGTTCAGCAGGGACCGGTTTTAGCACCCCTATCAGTGCTAAATGGTTTTGTCTCATCTCTGTCACTGATACATTCTGCTGGAGAGCTTGTGCTTTTGAAAAAACAACAGACTTACTAACTGGATCACCAGGTGAAAGAAAGCCTAAAAATAAAAGGAATACAGCCGCCACATCTAAGGGATAATAAGCTGCAATATGAGAAATGTGGACGGAGGGGCTCAGTTTTCCCTCCCAGACTATATGCATTGGCACTGATTTGTTACAGAACCCGGGACTCTGAGGCCCCGCCCACGTCTGGGCATTCGCGATATCAGGAAGAATAGCCACCATCCCGAAATGTTCTGCGAAAAATGACAAATCGCAGCACGCCTGTCCGGGGCGCCATTCGTTTTCAATGGCACCGTGGCTCTGGCGCGACGCACATACACACCGCGTCGGGCGGAGCTTGCTGCTCCAAAAAGAAGCTCCCGCGCCTTTCTGAGCATTAAGGTTTGCCGCAATTAAACCGCGTTTTGGTGCCACTGAAAACACGAAGGCACCTGGACAGGCGTGGAGCAATTTGTCATTTTTTGCGCAGGAATTTTGGGATGGCGACGATTCTTCCTGAGATCGCAAACGCCTAGATGTGTACGGGGGCCCTGCCTCCCTTCCTCCATACTCCACCTACAACTGAAAGGCACGCGCCAGGTAAACGTATCTTCATCCACTAGCCAACCACAATACACACACTATATTGCCACAAGTATTGGTCGGCCGGCCTTTCCACGCACGTGACCTTTAATGGCCCCCCAGTCTTAGTCCGTAGGGTTCAATATTGAGTTGTCCCCGCCCCCTTTCCACACACATGACCTTCCATGGCCCCCCCAGTCTTAGTCCGTAGGGTTCAATATTGAGTTGGCCCCGCCCTTTCCACGCACATGACCTTTAATGGCCCCCCAGTCTTAGTCCGTAGGGTTCAATATTGAGTTGGCCCCGCCCTTTGCAGCTATAACAGCTTCAACTCTTCTGGGAAGGCCATCCACAAGGTTTAGGAGGGTGTCTATGGGAAGGTTGGACCATTCTTCCAGAAGCACATTTGTCAGGTCAGGCACTGATGTTGGGGGAGGAGGCCTGGCTCACAGTCTCCACTCTAATTCGTCCCAAAGGTGTTCTGTGGGGTTGAGGTCAGGACAGTCAAGTTCCTCCACCCCAAACTGGCTCCTCCATGTATTTATGGACCTTGCTTTGTGCACTGGTGGGCAGTCATGATGGAACAGGAAGGGGCCATCCCCAAACTCCTCCCACAAAGTTGGGAGCATGAAATTGTCCAAAATGTCACCTTCAGAGTTCCCTTCACTGGAACTAGGGGGCCAAGCCCACCCCCTGAAAAACAACCACACCCCATAATCCTCCCTCCACCAAACTTTACACTTTGCACAATGCAGTCAGGCAAGTACCGTTCTCCTGGCAACTGCCAAACCCAGACACGTCCATTGGATTGCCAGACAGAGAAGCGTGATTGGTCACTCCAGAGAACACGTCTCCTCTGCTCTAGAGCCCAGTGGCGGCGTGCTTTACACCACGGCATCCGACACTTTGCATTGCACTTGGTGATGGAAGGCTTGGATGCAGCTGCTCGGCCATGGAAACCCATTCCATGAAGCTCTCTACACACTGTTGTTGGGCTCATCTGAAGGCCACACCAAGTCTGGAGGTCTTTAGCTATTGACTCTGCAGACAGTTGGTGACTTCTGCGCACTGTGCGCTTCAGCATGCACTGACCCCGCCCTGTCATATGACGTGGCCTACCACTTGGTGGCTGAGTGGCTGTTGTTCCCAGTGGCTTCCACTTTGTTATAATCCCACTAACACAGTGGTTCTCAACCTTTCTAGCGCCGCGACCCCTTAATACAGTTCCTCATGTTGTGGTGACCCCCAACCATAAAATTATTTTCGTTGCTACTTCATAACTGTAATTTTGCAGTAGGAGGAATAGTGCCACGTCATTGGTGTCATTGGGAGGAATAGTGCCCCATCATTGGTATCAGTGGGAGGAATAGTGCCCCGTCATTGGTGTCAGTGGGAGGAATAGTGCCCCTTTCATTGGTGTCAGTGGGAGGAATAGTGCCCCTTTCATTGGTGTCAGTGGGAGGAATAGTGCCCCGTCATTGGTGTCAGTGGGAGGAATAGTGCCCTGTCATTGGTGTCAGTGGGAGGAATAGTGCCCCATCATTGGTGTCAGTGTGAGGAATAGTGTCCCATCATTGGTGTCAGTGGGAGGAATAGTGCCCCATCATTGGTATCAGTGGGAGGAATAGTGCCTCATCATTGGTATCAGTGGGAGGAATAGTGCCCCATCATTGGTGTCAGTGGGGGGGAATAGTGCCCCATCATTGGTATCAGTGGGAGGAATAGTGTCCCATCATTGGTATCAGTGGGAGGAATAGTGCCCCATCATTGGTGTCAGTGGGAGGAATAGTGCCCCATCATTGGTATCAGTGGGGGGGAATAGTGTCCCATCATTGGTGTCAGTGGGAGGAATAGTGCCCCGTCATTGGTGTCAGTGTGAGGAATAGTGCCTCGTCATCGGTGTCAGTGTGAGGAATAGTGCCCGTCATCGGTATCAGTGGGAGGAATAGTGCTCCATCATCGGTGTCAGTGGGAGGAATAGTGCCCCATCATCGGTATCAGTGGGAGGAATAGTGCCCCATCATAGGTGTCAGTGGGAGGAGGAATAGTGCCCCATCATTGGTGTCAGTGGGGGGAATAGTGCCCCATCATAGGTGTCAGTGGGAGGAATAGTGCCCCATCATTGGTGTCAGTGGGGGGAATAGTGCCCCATCATAGGTATCAGTGGGAGGAATAGTGCCCCATCATTGGTATCAGTGGGAGGAGGAATAGTGCCCCGTCATTGGTATCAGTGGGAGGAATAGTGCCCCATCATCGGTGTCAGTGGGAGGAATAGTGCCCCATCATTAGTATCAGTGGGAGGAATAGTGCCCCATCATTGCTGTCAGTGGGAGGAATAGTGCCCCATCATTGGTGTCAGTGGGAGGAGGAATAGTGCCCCATCATTGGTGTCAGTGGGGGGAGGAATAGTGCCCCATCATAGGTGTCAGTGGGGGGAATAGTGCCCCATCATTGGTGTCAGTGGGGGGAATAGTGCCCCATCATAGGTGTCAGTGGGGGGAGGAATAGTGCCCCATCCTTGGTGTCAGTGGGGGGAGGAATAGTGCCCCATCCTTGGTGTCAGTGGGGGGAGGAATAGTGCCCCATCCTTGGTGTCAGTGGGGGGAGGAATAGTGCCCCATCCTTGGTGTCAGTGGGGGGAGGAATAGTGCCCCATCGTTGGTGTCAGTGGGGGGAGGAATTGTGCCCCATCGTTGGTGTCAGTGGGGGGAGGAATCGTGCCCCATCCTTGGTGTCAGTGGGGGAGGAATAGTGCCCCATCCTTGGTGTCAGTGGGGGAGGAATAGTGCCCCATCGTTGGTGTCATTTGGGGGAGGAATAGTGCCCCATCGTTGGTGTCATTTGCGGGAGGAATAGTGCCCCATCGTTGGTGTCAGTGGGAGGAATAGTGTCCCATCGTTGGTGTCAGTGGGAGGAATAGTGCCCCATCATTGGTATTAGTGACACCAATGATGGGGCACTATTCCCACTGACACCAATGATACTTACCTTGCAGACCCCTGCTCCAGCCTGGGCTCGCTTGCTCCCTCCCTCTCCCATGGTACCGACACTTACCTGTCAGATGTCTTCCTTCTCCGGCCGCTCTCCTCCTCTTCACTCGCGCAATCTTCGCGGTGCCGCTCGGCTCCTCCTCTCCAAGCTCCACCTCCTTGCCGGTGATTGGCCGCCTGTGTGCCTCTCCTGAGCTACAGTGCCGGCGGCCAATCACAGGCGAGGATTGATCTCGAGGTGTGTCCAGATGACAGGGGCGGCATGTCATCCCGCCCACACCTGGAGACGGCGGTGGCGGCGGCGGCGGCGAGGAGCGGTGTCTCGGTTCCTAAGACCATCGGAAATATGTGTTTTCCGATGGTCTTAGGCGACCCCTGTGGAAGCGTCGTTCGACCCCCAAAGGGGTCGCGACCCCCAGGTTGAGAACCGCTGCACTAACAGTTGAGCGTGGAATATTTAGTAGCCAGGAAATGTCACGGATGGACTTATTGCCCAGGTGGCCACCTAT